CTGTGCGAGTTGCCAATGTCCTGTCCGTGCAGATTGTAGCAAATCCTCTTCTAGAACTCCGACACAGCCATATTAACACAGCTAACGAATCGTATTGTCTACTTCCCAAAAGTGTGCGAACCGGAGCATTGGATTAATTATTTTAAAAAAGGCGTAAACAATGCCAGTGGAGGTGCGATCAGAATCTTGCTCATAATGTTAATTGGTGACGATATTATTTAAATTAAGGTGCAGCGAACAATTTTGCTCGGTAAGCTGACAAATTGAATTATATTGCCGAATATACAGAGATCAAATTCAAAAGTCGGCACTTTGGTCTTAAACAATGCCGTGACGAAGTTGCTTGTAAAGAGAAAGAAACAAAATGTTACGTCTATGAAAAAATTATACATAAAAAGGTCGAGGATAATAACTAATTTATCAAAGAGGTTGAGTTTACGCTGGGCAGAACATGTTGCCGAGTCCGAGCCTATTTAAAATATTCTACCGAGTATCCTACTGGATTTCTTACTGGTTGTATGTACCTTTTATGTGCTTGTGGATAACGAAACTGCAACTTGCACAATCAGCCTGTCCCACACCGGTAGTACCGATATGTACTGAATGGCGGCTGCTCGACTAAACGCTTCCTTGGCACCACTAGTCTGCACGACGAGGCGCATCTTTGACAAAAGTGGCAGCATTTGAGTATTCTAGACATCCGATAGCCGCATCGCGTGGACCACCCACACAATATATCAGCAGCCTCTCGAGCTCACAATGCCTACAACGGGAGATCTAGACAGCCCAGCCGGACTTATACCGCCAACAGACTCCAGCAGCTGTCGAAAGCTACTGGACACGATTGACGGGTGAATGTCAGTGAAAGAGAAGGATTCGATGACTCGAGCGTATACTGCTTTCATTGGTTTTTCGATGATTATCAAGACCGTCACTTGCGGGTACCATACATGGACTTGCATATCGTCACCACCACCGCATCGAGTGCGTATAGACCCTTTCCAATGTAGATACCCCGAACTATCGCATCTAAAGCGCAAATAGCCTCGACAGCTGTCGCCTGATGGGCTGGCGGATTAAGATCAAGAAAGCGATGCATGAGGTCACTTAGCGTACAGGGGTAGGCTGCAAATATTAGCTTTCAATATACGTTAACCTTTGAGGCACTCGGCCCGCTTGTTATGATGACTTCGGCGTTGGTAGTCCCACAGATATCGATGCACTGCACTATCGGTCAAATGTACCCCTTTCGATTGACGTGTACGGCGTCGAAAACCTAATGTCTGGAAAGTCAATCATGTAGCCCCGACTCTATATATCTTCTGCGTCGGAAGAAGCTTGTCTACTGCTTGGCCTTGGGACTTTGCAATCCAATACTCGAAAGGCTTGAAGCAGCGCAGAGCCATCTCTTGCTCTAGCTGGACTTAAGTAAGCTGGGATCTGCGGTGCACGCTACCCGTCTCTCTATCTCAGCTGCACCATTACATCGTGTCAAAGATAGATTATCCGTATCGATGTTTTGTCAAGATTACGCGTTGGTGTTTGCGACATACTGAACAGCATTTCGTCATTGGCAGAGGTGCTTTCGTAAAGGAGGCCGAAAAGCGTAATTGGGTACTCTATTAGCCATTATTCTTTTCCGCTTTCGAGGCTTCTGAAAGCCAAAAGCAGGAAGCGGTGATGTATCCACATCAAATGTGGCCACAACATCATATGTGTCTCAACAGATTGATTGGAAGGCGAAGGTGTGTGGCTCGGTCATTCAAAAGACAAGACGCCAGAAGGTACTACAGTTAGCAGAGAGTATTTGCTATTACTACCATCGGGCTTTTTCTTTTCGATCTTGCAGCCTCGTCTGCGAGCACGTTATCAAGCTGATAGATTCTCTTTGGCTGAGGTGAGTAGGAAGGAATCTGTTTCCCTGTTGCGTCTGAATGTCACAAACCCAATAAGTCGCATGCTTGTGAGCTGCTCGCGCATCTCCCGTTAGGCTGACTAAAATCCTTGATTTTCCGATTGTTACGTGCATTATATTTAGTCTCTTGTGCAAATAGTTTACCGGGTCGAAGGATGGTTTGACACGATTATAACCCGTAGAGCATCGTTTGGACGCAATATTTGGAGCATTGGATGCATCGCGCGATCCAACATCCATTTTAAGACACTCGTATTCTTATCGTGAGAGGCTTACTGCAAGCGCAGTCTCAAAAAGGTTGCATTTGCGCGTCCATCTTTCTTCGATATATCTTCATCCTGAAATCGGAAATAGTTGTACTTCATCGTCAACTCCCACATTGATTTGTGGTTTCAGGGATATCTGAGCGTGCGTATTCTTGCGGTCATGGACCGAGTGGTAAAAATTTAGACATTAGTAGCTAGACGCACGCCGTGATGTTTGCGGGGGATTAAAATCAAAGGATAATTGTGATCGTCGTACTTTACTTGAATGCAACAAATTGCAATGTGCTCTGCCGGGCACGTATTCGATTGAAATATGCTTGCCGATGTGATATATATACCGGTCGATTGAATCATCGCTAGCTGAGATAATTTGGCTGCCACCACTTTTGTATCGATAGCTACGGCACTCAATGCTAAATTTCTGAAGACGCCGACATAAATCACCGCATGATCGTATAATAAGTTGACGTGGTGCGGCGTCAACACCAACAAGCAAAATGTTCGCCGCTGAAGACTTCGTGGTACGCAGGTTGATCTTCAAATCATCAAAAAATTAATGTAGATTTAGCCAACACGTGCATTTCTGAAGCTAAGACAACGACACATGAATGAAGACACATAAAATGGTGTTGATTCCGCTCAAAAAGTTGCTTGACGTCCGCAACAGGCGTTGGTCTCTGTCTCATACTTGTAGCACGGTGTGAATAAAGTGATAATTGGCGTTTGCTGTCGAGAACTCGATTTCAGACGAAACGAACATACAATCGATAGCCAACGTGATCGAAGTGGCGCACGTTGATGATTTCAAGATCATTTGATGTAATAGTTTTTTTTTAGAAAGAACTGCGGGTTGTGCAGGCGCACCTATGGTCATAATACAAGAACCACGGTTCGTTCTCCAAAGTCGGCGATGGCCATTACACGTCATCACGTCGGTATTATTTACAGCCGCTATCGCGCAAGCATAAGAAGTCTATGTGCTGGATTGATCAAGTCATCATGAAATTGAGCCGGTGCGCCAGATGCGTGGTGGTGAACTTCTACTCTGAATGAGGCTATCCAGTGTTCTCCGTCGCTGCACATCCAGACTGAGGATATGTATTCCTTTCGGGCACCAGAGACGGCGCCGCCACTCCAAATGTTGGCGGCATGCAATGTCGCGATATTTATGAGCTGGTCGCGAAGAGGTTGCTTCCTGCCGTGGTACGTCCTGACATGGACTGTCGGCCCGCTGATTAACAGTATCAGTTCTGTCAAGATTTGAGTCATTTAAGCGGTGAAACAGAGAACGTCGTTTGGAGCTGATGTTAAAAGTCCTATTCACGGTCAAATTAAAGCTTTAAAACACAATATATGCTATGTTCGTGATCCGGTCCGTGTGTTGCTTTTCATCAGCAAAAATTAGCGTATAGTATTCACTATTCAAATAGAGCGTCTGAATGTTAAGATTCCAATTGCTATGAATCGAATATTTCATAAATGCAGGTTTTTCATACAGGATGAATGATTGATTGTGGATATGAAAAGCAGACCCCATTTACCAGCCGCTACATACACTAGAGAACAAACGAACTTTTAAGTCGCAGATTGTACGACTCGAACGAGATCTAACAAATGGTGTGTAAACATTCGTGGCGATATGTGGGCACTAATATTCTAATATCGCTCCAAATGATAGCTCTTAGTCCAATAATTATAAGCAAAATTGGTTTTTCTCTGATTAAGTGGCGCTGACGCATGCTTGCTATACTCATCCGGTGGCAACAATGGTTAGTATCTAAATGTGCGAGCGGGACAGTGCATACCAAGATGCCAAGGCGATGAGCGTTTTGCATTCAAATTTTCCAAGCGGGTATTGCAACATGCAAATGACTATGCTGGGACTCACTCAAATGCTAACTACCAGTAGTGATTGACATGGTACAAGGCACGACAGAGGGGGGGTACAGGAGAGAAGAAAGCACAAGCTTAGCGCCAAATGCTCTGCTTCTGCGGAACTAAGTGCGACGATTCTCTGATACTTGGACTTAGACACAAACGGAGATTATCCAATATTGATCAACACACCTGAGACAGACCGTCTGTCGTCGGTGTTGCTGCCCCAGTCTGCATCCGAAAAAGCTTCACCAATCACCTTTCCAATCTCTCCTTTGTAAATGATCCCGTGATCACGTGTCGACTTTAAGTAGCGTGGTACACGAGCTGCGGCTTAATGTGGTGACCTGGGATTTTTGAGAAATCGGGACAGTTGTGTAACGACATATGCGATGTCCAGCCGAGTGCAAGTTGTAATGTATAGCAGACATCCAATCAGTGAACGGTGTGGTCTTGACCGCATCTGCGAACGCTCAGCTTCTGTACTTGGTGACTGTGACATTGACAGCTTGAGACGGATTGTCGACGTCTTCGACGTGTACCTGTCCAAATCACTCAGCCACGTCGCTAATATACAGTGTCTAATTGACCATTAGTGTGGTAGCTGAGCTGTCGTAGTCGATCTCCATGCCCAAGATGAATTTCGCCATATCGAGATTCTCAACTAGAAAAAACACTTTTCAGCATCCCCTTTTGACCTCTAGAATCTAACTGCTCGTCTTGGCTGCAATGATAATATCATCGACATATAGACATACGTACACAAAACCTTCTTTCACTTTCTTCACGTAGACGCCTTGGTCGGCTCCACACTTTTTAAAATCGTTTCCCTTGAAGGCGAAGTCGATCGTCGTGTTCTAAGCACTTGCAGCTTGCTTGGGTCCGGAAATAGCTTTGTTCAGCTGGCACGCAAATCCTTGAGCTCCCTTAACACCAATCAGAACCTACGATCTGACAGCACACTATCGACAAAGGCGGTGTCGACGTCCAGCTGCTCCATTTTGAAGCCCAATACCGCACACACTGAAAGTACAACTTGAATCGCATATATGTTGGCCACTAGAGAATAAGTCTCGAAGACATCCAAGCCGAATTTCTGCTTGAACCTTTTAGCCACTAATCGTGCTTTGTAGCGCACCACACATCACTTCTGGTCACGCTTCTTAGCAAAACCCAGCGGCATCTAATCGTTAGTCCAACTGATTCTCATGAAAGAGTGTCCATGTTCTGTTCTGGCGATGCGACTGTATTTCGGCGCCATCGTTTGTCGCCAATGTTCTGCTTTGTCACTAGCCATTACCTGCGCATACGTGGTAGGCAAGTCCGATTCTTCATCAACACTTACAGCGTAAGCGTGAACAGCTTCAGCTATAAGGCCGTCTTCATCAATCCTTGCACGCTTTGGAGATGGTGGTCCTTTGCTCCCTTACATACTCTCTTCGCCATCTGATCCTATCTCCAATAGCAACATTGGTTCGCGTGTATGCCTTGTGCGTTCCACTTGCGGTTGAATACCAATCGATCTTTCTGTGCATCCAATGTAGGAGTTCTGTACTCTGTCAGTTCAGAGCGTACTAAGGCCGGTAATCGAAGTACGTCGACCCTTGATTCATTTATGTCGGACTACTCCACATCCATTAGATCAACTGGATGTACTTCTTCTTCTTCACATTCCATAGGCTGATCTTGATCTTGTTGGTGTTTTGTCGGCCCGCACACTGCGCTTTCATCGTTGTTCTTGGTTAATGTGTATCAATTCTACTTGTTGGGGCGGGTACGTCTCATGAATGACGCCCACTTCACGCTCGTCCAGCTTCACAGACCGTGATACTGATATCTTGTCTTTCTTCGAATCGTAAACTCAGTATCCCTTGGTGTCTTCGGCATAACCAAGAAGCATGAACTTTAAGCTTTTGGCTTCAAGCTTTGTCCTCTTCTCTTGATCAACGTGAGGCATACCCATGAGACCCAGACGCCCTAAGGTTATACATCCGAGGCTTCATCTTAGATTCCAGCTCATACGGAGTATTGTTTGGGTGCACTGTATTGGAAGAGCGGTAGATCAGGTACACCGCAGTGCTTACTGCCTCTGCCAACCAGCATACTTGCAGTGTAGCATGCTCCGTGCCTTTTTCATAATTGTGCAGTTCATTCGTTCTACAATTCCGTTTTGTTGTGGACCGTATGGTACTGTACGCTGATTTATGATGCCGCTCCGCTGAATAACTCCGTATCTGTCTTGTTGACAAACTACGTTCCGTTGTCCGAACGCGGGCACTTAATACGGGTTTCCCATTGATTTTCATGCAATGCTCTGAACATCTTGATCTTGTCGGCAACTTCCCTCTTCCTCACCAGAAAGTAAACCACCACATACCGTGAATAATCATCCACAAAAGTCAAAATGTACCTGGCACCTTCTTTCAAAAGTGTCTGCATGGGTCCAATCACGTCCATGTGAACTCATTTCAATACACGTGACGATTTTGTCATGGAGCATCCTGGAAAGGCTTCAATCGTCTGCTTGCCCTTCATGCATCCACCGCATAAGGTCTCGATAACTTGATTTAGCGCAGACATACCTTCTGTGGATCGCAAAGTTTCACTAAAACATCCTCGCTTAGGTGTCCTAAACGAGCGTGCCACAGCTCCCACTGACTATCAGCTCCCGAGTATTACACCGATCGTGCCTCTTCTTGCTGACAATCCAGCATATAAGCTTTCCCTATTCTTGTTCCGGTTGCCAAAGCATAGTTCTTATCCCAAATGGTGCACGAAACATGCTGAAACTCCACGCTAAATCACGTTCGGCAAGCTTTCCCAACGACAGTAAACGTCGGTCAAGTCCAGGGATAAGCAGCACTTCCATCATCGATATGCGTCTTCCGTCTAAGCCGATAAGCTTCACTGTTCCTTCGGCGCATAACTTCCTGCCGTCTGCAATCGTCACCTTGACGTCGGCTTTAAGTCGCTTGAAGTCGATCAAGTCACTTTGATGAGGGGTCAAGTGTGACATCGCACAACTGTCAATCAGCCAGCCTGCTGATTGCTCCTCCCCCACAGCAATACTGCATCATTACCGCTGAAACGGTTTCTGGAACGGTTCACAGCTGGGCAGTCCCGACTCATATGACCAGTCTGGTCACAATTAGAGCACTTGCTCCGAAAACCGCCGTCCTTGCGTGGTGCGTGATTTTTGCGACCACTTCCTCGTCTGATCTTGATCCGTCCGTCATTGCCTGTGGCGCGAAACCCTTTCTGACTTGCTTCCTTCTTTTGTAGCCTGTCTGAATCCTTCAATAGCTTCTCCTTAACTTCGATCAGAGTGATGTCGTTGGTGTTCTCCACGATAGCAGAAATCATTTCATATTCCACCGGCAAGCTGCTCAGAAGTATCACTAGCTGCCTTGTATCATCCAACGGCTCTCCCGTCGTCTGGAGTCCCACTACAAGCTTATAAAACGCGTCCAGATGTTCTATCATGCGAGTGCCACTCTCCATCGTAAACTCATGAAGGCGACGTGTCATCGTGACACGGTCGTGCAGAGTGGAGCGATTGTAAAAATTGCAAAGCGTTCCCCATGCCTCCAAGGCACCAGTAGCAGACCGGATCTTGGTCTAGACTTGAATCTCGACGCGCTGGGCAATTATACCCACTGCCTTTGCGTCATTCACGAGCCACTTATTTCGCTCTCATCCCTTGCGCCAATAATTTGTCCCAGAAGTCTTTTTCTTGCGAGGGCCATCCTCATGTTGAACTCCCGATGGTAATAGTAAACCATCTCCTAGGAGAACTTCGGTGCGATTGGTAGTCATGGCGGTGGGTGTGCGGTGGAGCGAAGCTTTGTTTGCAGCTGCTCACTTCTTTAGAAGATGACAAAAACCGCTTGAATATATAGGTCCTTATTTTACTAACTCTGTAAGTCTGTCTTTCTAGATCCTTGCTTAATGTATCCCTATTTATTTGGACCAATGAACAACTACCATTATGTCCGTAATCAGCGTTGTAAACTCAAAATGCCTATATTTGAAGTACCCATCTCCATAATCTGGAAGGGCAGCGTCGGACAACTCTTGTGAACCTCACTCAGATGAGAAATTTTCTAATCTCCAGCTGGACCACCAGCTCAATCTGTAAAATTTGTACTCTGCGTGGGCGACAGTGCCTAGAGACCAACGGCCATCGTCGACGTCGGAAAAATAAACCAAGTTTTAATATTTCGACTGCAACTTGCACCTGCACAACCCGCAGGTCTTTTACCGAGAATTCGTTAGTTACATCTTACTGACGTGATGTCATCAACGAGTTCGGACTCGATCACGTTGGCTTTCCATCGAACTTTCCACTCGGAACCGACTTTTCGACGACAAACACCATGCATCACTTTATGCTCACCGTGCTTCAAGCACGTGACAGGTATTTACGTCTAGTTGCAGAGTTTGAGCGACCACTGATCAAAATGGACACCATTCGCTATATTTTCAGCTCATAGATTGTTCACTCTCGCTTTTATCCACAGGGACGAGTGTGTCTACTCAATTATGCAATATCTTTTGGTGTTTCAAAATTACCCTATGTGTATGGATTGTTGAACGACGAACATTTTGCGTTTCGGTGTTTACCCCGCGCTACGCCAACCTTTTCACAAGGTTATGCCGTTATCATGTCGGCGTCATTAAGATTTTGGCACCGAGAGGTCAGAGTCATCGCTGAATAGGTGTGGGGAGCCAGATAATTTGAGTTCGAGGGGGGTCAGTTGATCAGTAAAACGGAAATCCTTCATTCACCATAGCAAGCAGCTTCAATTAAACCGCGTGCCCAGCGGGCACGAGTCAATTTGTTGCTTCCGGGTAACAAACATGTTTTTGATAGCCACCAAACGCGTCACACAACCTTCACCTACTACTGAAAACTCTGAGACACGAACGGCAAATAGGCACCGCGAAAGCACACCCGCTGTTGATACACCACCGCCTCCTGCTTACGACTACCTGAAGCTCGAATAACGGCTAATCAGCTCTCGACTATTACTCACCGCAATCTGTAGCATTTACCCAAGCCAAACTCAAGCGGAAGATGACTCTGCGTCATTTTTGGCCTATCGATCATTGATTTGAAAAGCTCCCAGGCCCAGCAGTGGACAAGCTTCTTGCAACGTTAAATTTACTTAAAACTTTGGCTGCCATATTGCCAAAATTCCAACATTCCAGACATTAGAAGTTGCCTGCACTGCGCCGTACACGATTGTCGTAAGCGGCGCATGAACCGACAGAGCAATGCACCCACATTAGTGCGACTAACAATGCCGAATTCGATCATTACGGGCGAGTCAAGCCTCAATTTTGTTTCTACTGTTTGTCATCCACAATCGATTACGCTCAAAGACCTTACACTTCGCTTTCTTGGTTTTGAGTCCCAGCCCAACGAGCGGCGGCTATCGAAGCAATTTGGGCCTTCAATGCGATAGCTCGAGATGACAATATGAAACGGTCTCACGCATCCTTAGTGGGGTGGTAATAAAGATTTGTAAGGGATGGCACCCGCAAGTGAAGGATTTTATTATCATCGAAACTCCAAAAAGGTAGTTTTCAGTCGATTCATCATTTTGCTCGTTTGTCCACAGCTCCCCGTCGATCGTGTCCGCTTTCTTTGACCGCAACGATCGAATCTCGCGTTTTGGAGCCTGTAGATGTCAAAAGACCAGCTTCTATCATTGTTTCTAGCTTTTTCCTGGGTTGCTGGCAGTCTGTAGGTAACATCTGTGAGCCTCTCTTCTGATGGTGTTGACTACAACCGGAAATTTCAGCAGGTATATTGGCGATTCTAAATAGCCGCGACTCTACAACTGGGGTGGTCGACTTGGTGTGCCAAGTGGTCGCCTGTACTCTTGAGCTCGATGTACTTGGTAATGCCATACACTTCATTGCCGAAGTCTTCCAACACCAGGATGTAATCTAGTTAGTTTTTGCGTGGCTAGATACCAGCATACAGTAGCTGGTCTCCCTCTCGGAGAAGCTTGAATCCAGAGGCATATTGAGATCACCGATCACGAGGTGGGATGCGTTGTCTTCGAATTGGTCGATGGCAGGTGATCGAAGAGCATCCTCTTCTCAGAGCCGTCGACACGGGTTGACCATATGGATGTACACGGGAAAATCCAACCGACACCTGAACCACTAGGTATTGACTTGGGACAATCAGATCGGATGGCTCCTTTATTGTGTCGAAGATGGGAAGTACTATCGGAGCATAGTGTGCACTCCACTGGACCGAACGGTAGTCAGGGCTGCACTGGTGCCACCAAAATTACTAAACGAAGAGCCTGTGCTGGAACTAGGACTCGGGGCTGAACCTTAAAGTGTCGAGGTAGTGCTAGTCGCGTAGCTTGGCTTTGCGAATACCTGAGACGCTATGACGCTGGTAGAGGTTTTCGACCAGCAGATTGTCGTTCTCCTTGACCTCTTTGTTACTGACTGTCAGTAGTCTGACGTTTCCTTGAGACATCAGCGGAGTCCACTGGTTAAGCCACCGTACGAACTTAGACCGAGATGAATATCCATAATTATGACCAGATTGTCCATCTTCTGCAGCTGGAGCACGCTTGCATTGTCGGGGTATCTGGCACGGATAGCTGAAAGGTCGTTTATCAAGGAGCCCAGTCACTAATCATCTATCCATAGTTGAAGCATATTTCGCTAAGGTTGAGCCACAACAGCACCAAAGCTATTTGGGGCACAACAGGCGGTGACTGTGCGCTGGATTTCACGCGATTAGTTAAACGTTTTGATGCCAGAGCCAGTAGTCATTCTGAAGATTTACGGCGCCGAGAACATGAGCATGATCTCGAAGAGAAATAGCGCTTTGGAAGCTCGCCCTAGATCCTTTGTGCTGTTAGATGGCACCTTCCATCACTGATATACATGCTGGAACAGTTCTTCGTTTTTTGGAACATTGTCTTCAATCATTTTGCCCCAGTTGTTGCAAAGTGGTCGGCTTCTCAGGGGTTTTCCAGCATGAAGTTGATCAGACGCGTTTGCGCCAAGTTGCCAACTCGCGAGCTGGCGGCGGTCATCTCCTGGGGCAGCACAGGAATATAGGCTAGAAATGCCGAGCACGACATCACCGTGTCTGCGTTGATGGTGTTTCGCAGCATCTTGCGCAACCCCGTAAAAATAGAGTCGGCGACCACCGTACAATCGGGCAGGAGCTGAGGAACGGTGTTTTTTTACCGTCTTCTTCATCTCCGCGACAATCTCTTGTATTGGCGTAAACTTCACGGTCTTCACGCTAGAATGTGATACTTAGTGAGAAAATGGCTGTCTTCAATCAACTCGCTTAGTTCAGCTGGATCATTCACCTTACGAAGGCATGAACTGAAAGTGTACATATCGAGAGCGGCCAAGCAGCAGTCAAAGTCCAGCTCGAGATTCCTGAGCACGTCGAAGTAGTTGCTCATCGCAACTTCTACAAAGGGCCTCAGTCTACTCTTAATGGACATGCTGGTAAAACTGATCGCCTTGCGCATCTGCTTTCACTTATTCTAATACTTGGTCGTGAGTTTGCAAGAGGAAGGTCTAGATGGTGCCAAAGCTTTGGAGTGAATTTTTAATTTCTAAGCAGCGTCAAAATCACCGATCTTAGTCGTGTTCTGAAAGATCTTGCTGAAGAACCACTCGTTGGTGCTCGAGCTGGGGGCGCGGCTTGCTGGACAATAATATCCTGGCAGAGCCCGAATTTCAATGACGTAACTCTCGGTGGTTGGGCAACAACATTAGCAATCGTATTGACGATTTGCGTAGCTGCCCTTGTCCTGGCAGCTACCGCTATCTTCGCCGCCAGAATACGTTGATTTAGAAGTGGTCGACAAGGATGTTCATTACTCAAGCTATACTTGTCTCCGAGGTTGGTGATTTCCTGGCTTTTCAAAAGGAGTCGAGTTTTCTCAGTCTTGCCCTTGTTTTTCAATTTCCCCCCTGACATCTTGATGATCTGGCCGAGCTGGTTCTGGTCAATGAGCTACTGCTGGACAGTATATTTGCCATGGTCATTGATGTGGACGAAAGAAGTTTGTCGGGTGAGGGTCTCGATAGAGCTTGTCCAGTCCTAAGTACCATATTGTAGCGCGCTCTGGGCAATACATACAAACCGGGTCCATCACTCTGCGAAGCATGCGCAGTCCAGCTTCACACTGGGTACTTCGTTGGCAGTAAATGCAGGGTTCTCTGCGACAATTGCTTGAGCGAGAGAGTTTGAATCCATGTCATTCATCACATAGTGTTCAGCTTGAACAGTCTCGTGCTTGGCGACATTGACGATGGGACATTCCAACTTTGGCGAAACTTGATTAGTGGATAGCTTGTGCCTATGGGTGAACAGCTTGCAAATTAAATACTTGGGTGTATTATTAGCAAAATGGTCAACACCAATGTCTAGTTACACATTGTAAAGACTTAAGACTAGTTTTTAATGAATGCATACACTGATATCAATCAGATTGAATTGTAATTTTTGTTTGGAAGAGTTTAGTTGAATCACATGGATTGTTTGATGTTTAAATTTGGCAGCAAAAAGTTGCATTCTCGACTTTGATCTTTATAATTTACATTGTGATTCCAAAACAAAATATGAACTTGCAGTGAAGATTTTGAAAACACAAAAAATACGCAAGTTGAGGTAATTTAATTCCCATTTTTAAGTCGTCACATCACAAATTTCCTCAAAACATCGACCGATGTAACGAGTGAACTCACGACGCCTTATGTATTGCATATCGATTCAGATCCCATCATAAATGACTGTACAAAACACTAAAGAAGTTAAGTGCAGCATACTTATTAAAAGATGACTGGATGCATGCAAATGGCTCTGACGCTGAAGTTATGCGCTTAAAGAGAACGTTCATGAAGTTTAACAAGGTCATTAACGAATTCATGAATGGATTAAAAAAATGCTGTATATTCAAACATATATTTATCTTTGAAACGACACACTGCGAGTATCCAGATAGCCAAACGCTGAGGTTTCTTTTACTTGATTGAGCATGTGGCACAATCTGTCGAAATCGTAGGTCACGTTAAATCCTTTAAATCAAATCCGTCGATCACTTAATCATCTCGTTTTCGCTTAAGCGCTTTGTTGGTGCTTGCTACCGGTTTTTTCCCGTGCTCATATATCGAATGATGATCGTTGAGCTTCGAACTCGAAACATCTCTGGTTTCCGGCTTATAAGACATGATGAACTCAATATCGTCCGAAGCAGCTTGCTGGAAATTCTTCATTGCTTTCAATGCCACGTCCGGGGGTATTTTGTCGCTCAGACATTTTTTGAAAATCGCGGTTTGCCGAAAGTTTATTACTTGAGCTAGCAAATATTCACCTTCCTGCAAATTTGCTCGAGTTGATTTTGCATTGACTCGACTTCATCGCTCAATCCGTTGCGGTTTGGAAATATAGAAGAGGGGACGGAGTGTGGCTTTGTATACAACGCATACATGTCCCTGATATAGTCGACGTAGTCAAGCCACAATTGAATGCGTGAATATTCAAAATTATTGCTATTCGAGTCACCCAGGAGAATCCGTAGAGCATTTTTCACAGTGTTGTTGTTCTTTATCCAATCTGTAAAGACAAACCGTGATAATTCTGGTTTCAAAATCATGATTCGCTCTACATCTTCTGCGAGGAGTAGGAATTCTGGCTTGGCTCGAAAATTTTCTAACACATTTATTACTCGGGGTATCGGATGGTCTAGATTCTGCGAGTTCATTACTTCTAGCAAAGTAAGAAGCAGCTGGTCATCATCAAATTTTTCACCTCCTTGATGGAAATTCCACTGCAGATAAACTTGGTGAAACCAATTTTCTATGTTTTTGTCGAGCGTTAGTCCAGTGTCTTCTGCAAGCATATTATTGTGCATGATATTGAGATCATGGATGCTTTCAACGATTTTGTTTCGATCCACATTAGCCGTATTCGTGACGAAAGGTTTGCTCAAATGCCTTTGTATCTCATTGATCTTATCACCACTTTTGATAGCTGCAACGCCACTCTAACAGATTAAAGATCTATTGCTAATGAACATCTTTTCATTTGATGTAGATTGCTTTGTTTGCGATACGTACGTCTTAAGGACAAGATCGAATGCAGTAAGGCAGTGACAACTTCGTTTAGCCTGTTGCTGCTATACATCACCACCATATATTACTGCACTTTTGATAGCTGCAAGGCCACTCTAACATATTAAACATCTATTGCTACTGAACATCATTTCATTTGATGTAGATTGCTTTGTTGGCGATACGTACGTCTGAAG